CAACGTTCCTGCAAATGTGGCCAGTTCTCCTGGCCCTGAGAATCAAGTCTATACTCTCCAAAAGAGGGAGAAGCCACAGCCTCCTTAAAGAAGCTAGAAATCCAGAGGGGTGTTTTTTTCTTTTGTCTGCAAGTAGCAAAAGTTGAGTGGCATATAAAAATCCAAATCTTCTGGAACTAATGCTCCTTTAGATATGGTTTCTAATTTTAAGTACCTAAGCTTGATTATTGATCACAGTGTGTCTTTAAATGAACAGATTAAAACTTTCTCCATAAAAATGAACTGTAAAAAATGATAGCTGCTCTCTGGAGGATAAGGCACTGTCTGATTCCTAAACTTAGATTCCGACTGTGAAGAGCAACCTCTCCTTCCAGGTAGAGAGATCTGCTGCTTAATATCCTCTCAGTCTAAGTCTCCTTCCCCTCTTTTCTGCGCCCACCTGTGGAAAAAAATTCTGCCACCTTTTCCTCCTTGATTAATTGGCAAGTATCTTATCTTTAAAGTGTTACCAACATCAAATGAGGATGTCATTCTTTTTTTCATCTCACAATATAGTTCCTTTTAAAACAAGCGCTCCTTATAAACATTAAACCCTAAATTTTCAGAATTTGGTTTAAAAAGCTTTTATACCAAACTTTAGAACAGATTGCATGGCGATTTTTATTTTATTCTTCTAAGCAAATTTTATACAATCTCATGATAAAAATAGGAAGTGATCTAATCAGTCACACTTATCAAACATAAAAGAAGTAACAACAAATCAAGAACCTTGCTGCACCTGCCTCTTCTGTCACTACTTCAACTCCTGTGCGAAGTGGGCAGAGTGACCAGGTTGTCACCAGTTTGCAGCTCAACCCTGGAGACTCTGCTCAGATATATAGAAACAGCAAAGGGCTGAAGAGCACATTCTGAAAACTAAAACCAAAAATCCAGATCAGTGAGCATGAGAAACCGTGAACATGAAAACAAGACTGTGGGCTAAGCCTTGATCTAGGACCACTCTGCAGATGCTTCACAGGCTGCATCCCATACAGGGAAGGGTTCTGGAGCAGTGGCCAGTGTCCTAACTGGATTGTGGAAAGCACCAGGGTGGTCAGGAGAGCAAGGCAGCTGCACAGGAGAAGGACACACAGGAAGTCAGGAGAGCCGTACTGAGCACCTGTGACTGAGCAGGACAGTCCATGGAGCCACTGGGAAGACACAGGTGGCACATGCCACAGGTGGTCAGGCAGACTATGGCACCATCATAAATGTTTCCTTTACATGAATATACCTTGATTTATTTACCCAGTGAACTATTAAGAGGTGCCTAGATTACTTCCAGTTTTTTGCTTTGTCTTGTTTTGTTTGCTTTGCAATTGCAAATGATCCTTTAATGACAACCGTTACTACATATATGCTGGCATTTTACTGAGAGTATATCCACACAGTGAATTCCTAGTGGTGACATTATTCAATCAAAGGACTATCAGACTTTGCGTGTGCTTACAAAAGCCAAAGGAAAGTTATTAATTGAATGGAATGGACTAGGCCTCTGGCTTGGCATTATTACCTGTTTTTGTAAAGGAGGTGGGAGGAAAAAGGTGTAAGATTGGGGCTAAGGGTACAACAGGAGGAGTGCATCCCCCCCCCCAGACTGTTGCTCAAAGCAGCAAGAGGCAGTCCAGGATGACCCAGCTGGTCAAGGTCTGGACTTGGATTTGACCTGAACTTTTTGACTCCAAAATCATGTTAACTACTCTGTTGCAGGAGTTCTCAGCCCTGACTTTCACTAGAACCATGTGGGGAGCATTAAGAAAGCTGGTGGTCAGGATGACCCCAAGCAATTATGTCAGAGTGTTTATGGGGACCTAGGCAAAATGACGATCTCAGATTGCCAGAAGATCTTGTATGAAGGCCTAGTTGAACAGCATGATTGTATTACAGTGCCTGAGTACCATCTCTGTAGACTGAACACAGGATCCTCACCATCCCTGCTGCCACTCACTGTGGACTTCACAGGCATTGGGTTAGGGTTAGGCTTAGG